GGGGCCTTCGGTGGAGCTCCCTGTGGGGCCACGAAACGTGTGAGGGGTGTGCCGAAATTGGTGGGGGGGCGGCATGCGAACGCAGCCACTGGGGCCTTCGGTGGAGCTCCCTATGGTGCCACGAAACGTGTGAGGGGTGTGCCGAAATGGGTGTGGGGGCGCATGCGAACCCAGTCACTGGGGCCTTCAGTGGAAATCCCCATGGGGCCACGAAACGTGTGAGGGATGTGCCGAAATGGGTGTTGGGGAGGCATACGAACAGGCCACTGGGGCCTTCGGTGGAGCTCCCTATGGGGCCACGAAACGTGTGAGGGGTGTGCCGAAATGGGTGGTGGGGAGGCATGCGGACCCTGCCACTGGGGCCTTCGGTGGAGCTCCCTATGGGGGGGGGGGGCTTGGGGCCGGGGAGGGTCCCGGGGGGGGGTTCCTCGGGGGGGGGGCGCCACTCAGATACGACGCCCCCCCCGCAAGTACTGCACGTAGGGATTCTTTATTGTTTCGGGGCCGCGCCCGAGCCGCCCGAGCCGCCGCCGAGCCGCGCCCGAGCCGCGCCCGAGCCGCGCTCGGACCGCGCCCGAGCCGCGCCCGAGCCACGCCCGAGCCGCGCCCAACAGACCCCCAAGACGGCTCCAAGAGATTGCCCAGATGGTTCACCCGAACGGACATTTCGACCCTTCAGCCCCGAGAGGCTCCCAGGACGCCCCAAGAGGCTCCAGGAAGTCCCCAAGAGGCCCCAAGAGGCCCCCAAGAGGCCCCTAGGAATCCCCAAAAGTCCTCCAAGAGACTCCCAAGAGGCCCCCAGGGTCGCATGGGTCGCCCTCCAGGGTCGGCGGCACCGGCCGTAAGGCCTTCGCAATATAGGTGTTGGGGAGGCATACGAACCAGGCCACTGGGGCCTTCGGTGGAGCTCCCTGTGGGGCCACGAAACGTGTGAGGGGTGTGCCGAAATGGGAGGTGGGGAGGCATGCGGACCCTGCCACTGGGGCCTTCGGTGGAGCTCCCTATGGGGCCACGAAACGTGTGAGCGGTGTGCCGAAATGGGTGGTCGGGAGGCATGCGGACCCTGCCACTGGGGCCTTCGGTGGAGCTCCCTATGGGGCCACGAAACGTGTGAGGGGTGTGCCGAAATGGGAGGTGGGGAAGCATGCGGACCCTGCCACTGGGGCCTTCGGAGGAGCTCCCTATGGGGCCACGAAACGTGTGAGGGGTGTGCCGAAATGGGTGGTGGGGAGGCATGCGGACCCTGCCACTGGGGCCTTCGGTGGAGCTCCCTATGGGGCCACGAAACGTGTGAGAGGTGTGCCGACATGGGTGGTGGGGAGGCATGCGGACCCTGGAGGGAGGAGGGCGAGGAGAAGGAGGAGGAGAAGGAGAAGGAACGCGGGGACCGTCTCTTCAAAACGAGGACCCAACACCACAGGATGGTTGGGAAAAATTGTTTAACAAAAATAAGGGCAGGCCTAACGCATTTTTCTCTTGAAAAAAACAAGAAAGTGTAGAAAACCTACGTTCGCGACGCATGTTTAAAACAAAAAATGGAAACCAAATTAACTAGAACGCAACTTCCACAACTAAAACCACTCCAAAACCTAACTTCCCCGAAACTTACGCTGGAAAAAAACGCTTCACCAAAAATCTACAACTTGCACCGCTCAAGTTATGTAACATTTGGCAGATCATGTTAAGATCTGGAAGATCCAGGCAAGATC